CTGTTTTCTGCAGTATTTCAAGTTTGAAATGGTTGTGGGTTGTCTTTAAGTTGTTAAATTAACAAAGGATGCAATTAGACAATGTGAACTACTTGCACCTCTTGTTAATGCAACAATAACTCCATAAGGCACAGAGTAGGGAGGTTTCCTCAATATGCTGTTCATTGATTTTTTTGGTGTCTTCTAATAATCTGTTTTCCCTGGTTTGTGTAAGTACGGACTCCTCTGGTTTTCTTTCTCTATCTAGAAACCATGCTAAGCCTGTGAAACAGGCACATCTTGTCTCATTGGTGAAAAAGACACTAAACATGAGTTGGATGTAGTTCTCAGGACCGTCTGTTTTGCACATCATGCCATTGTGCTAACCCAGTTAAGGTGATCTCAGGTCCTATTAGGATTGTTCATATAGATAAATGAGAAAATATATATATATATATATGAATGTATGTATATACACACTTGAAGTAAAAGGCAGGAGTTGTCAGCCACTGATAGGCATTTGTATGATAAAAAAGGGAAGCTAAGCAATATAGTTCCTCTTGGGACCATAACAAACCTGGCTAGCAGAGTCCTCGGTGCTTGACTGTACAACTGTTACATAGACCTTATGGACAACTAAAACTATAAGTCAACAAGTAACTGTAATTTAAAGGAAAGTCCAGGGAAGCTGAACTTAGTCACTCTTCCACTGGACGGGTTCTCGGCGAGGGTGTGGAACAGCACTTTCATATAGCTTCCTTGAAAATAACTGGCATCCTCCTTTTGTAAGGACGTTCCTAATGGTTTTCTTGTTTAGTCATGTAAGTAAACTTCTGAAAGATCATAAATTTCTAGTATAAATAAAAGTAGCCTTCAGGCTTTCTTAACAAAAACTCTATTTTGTCTTCCACCAGCTGTGCATTTCCAGGAGCATAAATGATTCTCAGGGTAGCTGACTGATAAGACTTTTGCCTCCTAAACATGAGTAGTACTAAATGGGCATTGTATTTTTCACTTTGTCTTTCTGCAGTTGATTTGCTCTTATGGCTGTGTAGACAGTTGCATGGTTTGCGAAGAAAATGGTTCATTCCAGTGAGTTCCTACAAAACTAGTTCCTATTCATTCCTAAGTGGTATCTTTTGGGCAGCAGCTGGATTAATTCTTTGTAAAAACTTTTTTTTCCCCCCCCTGCATAATGCATTCGTGTGAATTATGTTAAGTCTTAAGGTGCAAAGCTTATACCTTATGTATTCCTTCTCCCAGGGGAAGTGTGATAATTACAGTTTTGGTCAAATGAAGTAGTGATTATTTCAGCTACCTAAATTCAGTTTGTGGTCTTAAGTGGGTAATGTGTTGTCATTCACCGCTTCTTACCCCGCTCTTTTTCTCACAGCCACGCTGTGTGATGTTGCATAGCTACCAATCTGTAACCCAGGTGTTGTTATGTTAGAGTGGAGAGTTGTGCTGATCTCCGTGCAACATATAGAGGGTGTATATTGTACGAGATGCCTAGCAAGCTGCCGTAGGACTATAAATTTCTGTGGTTTGGTGTGTTTTTTTTTCATGCCATACATACCTGCTAATTACCAGAGTGATTTATGGTTCAGGCATATTTTCTCTTTCACCGCTCATCATTCTTTTTTCAAGTTTTAGAAATGAAGTCATTTTTAGTGAGTAGTTATCTGCTATTTTAGTGAGTAGTTATCTGCTGAAGCAATCCTGCTTCAGCAGGGGAGTTGGACTAGATGATCTCTGTGGTCCCTTCCAGCTCTAAAAATTCAGTGAAGTTCAGTGAAATCTCAGAAAGCCTTGGGGAGGTGGGGGGAGTCTGCCGGCCGCTGTGCAGGTAGGGTTTGTGCTGCAGAAGGGGGGCAGGTTGGCATCCTCCCCTCCGCGCCAAATAATCTGGGCTCTGGTAACTTGGGAAAGAGAGAAAGGGATGCTTCTGTGTTGTGGCTGCTGAGGCTCAGCACAGGCTGCGAGCTCGCTCGTTAATGCCTTCCTTCAGCGTGGTGGAGAACAGCAAGAGGGAAGAGGATCATTCTGAACCCACAGCCCTGTGGGAAGCCAGTCAGCTGAAGCCTCCATTGAGCCTGCTTTTTCTCTCCTGCAGTTTTGGCTGCAGGAAAGAAATGGAGGGCTGGTGGGGGGAATAATCGGCAGTAATCTCCTCCGCCAGCCAGCTGTCTCCTCCTATTGACCTTGAAGTAATGAAAAAGGGATGGATTCTGCTGCACGTTACCTCTGCGTGTCCAAATAATGAGAGCGGAGAGAAATGATTGTAAATCTGCCCGGCTTTGCCTCTTTGGAAGAGTGAGCCATGGGGAAAGTGACAGGACGTATTTTATTTTCACTCTGTAATTCACGTAGGTATTCATCCCAAGGTGTTTCCTCTGTGGGTTTTTTTTTTTGCCTTGTACTTCATTTTACGCAGCAGTAATTTTAATTCGGATGAACTCATTCCCTTCTGTTGACTTAAATTTTCAATATGAGAATAGTTATATTCCCTGAACTGGCAATAAACTGGTTTGATATTCACATTTTATAGATGTAATGGATTTCCATTAGTTAATACAGTGGAGTTACACCAGTGTAGAACTGGGCCTTTGAAAAAAAAACAAACCCAAAGCACACATGTAGGACTTTTCTTTTAAAGAAAATAAGGAAAAACTCCCCTAAACTGACTCTTGTTTTTATTATACAGGGCAAATGAAGACTGACCAAGCTTGTAGATATATTTAAAAAAAAAAAGGCGGAGGGCAGGGAGGGGGAACCTGGAATTTGGGAGTTTATTTTCGGATGTCACAAAGTAACCAGAAAGTTGTCTTTGGCAATTTGTTCATTCCCCTCCCAGCGAAATGTAATTCATTAAGGGAGTTTCTTGTCAAGCGTTAACTCATAAACTGCGATGAAGCGGAGACAGCAAATAATTCAGTAAGGCTAATGATGTAGTAGTCCAACCAGTGTGGCCAACGGATGAAGAATAGTAACAAGGTGTTTTAGTACTTAGCTAAGATGCCAAGACAATGGCAGCCAATGAACTGATGTCATGCAATCAGTGGCAGGGTTTGGTCCATGCAAACTGACACTTTTGTCTTAAATCCTACTGTGTGCAATAACAAAAGATCAGGAAGGACTATATTTAAAAACAGAGGAAATGTACGGAGTCCACTGGAAGAGCTTGTGGCATTGTTTTTACTCAGAGCTGGGTCTGGGTTGAGCTGATGGCTGCAGCGGTGCTGGGGTCCCTGAGCTCCTTTCCCCCTTCCCAACATGGGACTAACCTCTGGAATGGCAGCAGAGCTCTCCGGAGTGAATGGGGCTGTGGTGGAGAGATGGTTTGCTTGTATTCCCACAATGGAAATACTACACAAGCATTTGGAGCGAAGCTGGAGCGTAAGGGAGATGCTAGCTCAGTCACTGAATATGCAGCAGAACAGGTTGATTTACAAAGAAATACCGCCTGTTCCAGCCCGAGGGGGGGCTGTAAATCTGTCTCTCTGGAGGAGCGAGGATGGTGGTCATGTATTTTTCCTCTTTTGAGACCAATTAGCCTGTTAGAGCTTGCCTTTGGCCAGAGAAAACACTGTAGCTGAGCTGTGCTCCTTGGGGAATTTGGGAGGACGGAGGGAGGAAGCCGCCCAAGCCCCGTGCTCTCTGCTGGGAGGTGATGGCCACGGCGTCCTCTGGCTGCTCCCCTGTAGCCAGTGGCCTGGTGGTGATCTGCTCATGCAGAAGCAGATTTAATTCATCAGCTGACCAACCCTGGCCACAAAGACATGTATTTTCATCAGTTCAGTATGTTGAATGAGGGTGGTTGCAGTAAGATGAGTGCCACAGCCAGCTCCAAGGGGGAATCATCCCAGGGGCTCACAGGGTGCAACTGTCCCCTTTCAGCAATGGGTTTCAGCTTGCATCGTGAAAACACACCGTAATCTGACCCTTTCCATAGGTTATTGTGTTTGGAATGTATCTGGTACTCAAGCCAGTGTGGTGGGTTTTTTCCTACACAGCCATATTTGAAGGTTATCTCCTGTGGTCACATTAATCCAACTTTAATGAGCTCCACTGACTTGCCCCAGCTAAAATTTTGTTCCTCAAAATCTAGCATCTGTTAAATAAGTTTTAATACTTAAAGGCTTTTAGCCTCTAAGTTGAACTCCAGGTTTGTTTCCAGAGATTGCAATGTCTTTCATCTTTTTGGGTATTAATATAGAGCCCATACAGGAGGGCCAGCACCTCAAGATTTCCACATCATCCACACATCTTTAATTGCCGCTAAAATGACAACTGCAAATAATAGTATAAGTAGCAGAGCTGTACTTAACAGTGTCATTTAAGTCCATGAAACTATTTACATGTTTAAAAGTATGCAGATGCTGGTGTCTTATGCTAGATCAGGATCTTAATTATGTATAGTTTGAGATAATTGGGTTGCTTTAGCTTCATATCTCAACCTGCTAATTCTAACTGCTAAATTAGGATTCAACTATAATCCATGTACGTTTACTTAACTATTCCAATTTGTTCCATACATTAAGTAATCAGTCAGGAAAGTGTTGCGATTAATTCTGCTGCTATATTCTGGCTTTCTGTGGGAGAGATCCAAGTTCAACACATTCATATCACCAGGTGAATTTGGGCAATTATGTCCTTACCTTTTCCTGTTTGATTTTTTCCTAGTAGATATAAATGGATAAATGTTCTGGATAAATATTTTGAGGAACAAGTCCCAAAGTATCTTTATTTTGTTAAGGAGTTTATTCTTAGGTTGCTATGCTAACCTGTATTTTCTGGCTTTTATTTTTCTCTTTCCTCTCTTTTAGAAGCGTACATTTAAAACTGAATCAAAAAAGTACCAAGCTTGACATTTTTAACAGAAACAAAAATTGTGGAGAGCACATCTGCGTTTGAGTCCGTGATGAACAATCCAGCCTTTCTCCTAATCTAAAGTTTACATGGGTGGAGTGATTATCCGCTTACAGGTGCGGGAGTATAACTTCATTTTATTGTTCCCACAGATGAGCACCATGCCAGGGCTGCCCACGAGGCCATGCTTCTATGACATTGACCTTGACCCCGTCACAGAGCAAGTGAAAGGATTGTTTTGAGAGTGACGTCCAAATTCAGGTCAGTCAACAGCCTTTATTTTCCTGTTCCAGCTTGGAGGAGGATGTTTGTCTCTAATATGAACATAAAAAAGGTTGTCAGGAGTTTATCTGGGCCCTAGTTTCACTAAGGACTTCACACAAGGACTAAGGACATCTCACCTAAGGACTTTTCCTTGGGGAGACTTGAGGGAATATTTCATAATGTGCGCTTTATCACAAGGGTTTCTTGTTTGCTGAATGGTGGCCAGCACTTCGCTGGTGTACACCGATGGTGGACATTGATGGTGCCTTTTGGATGTCCTGGCTGTGTCAGTTTGGCATGAGGAGGAGCTGGTTCTGCCATTGTACTGCTCTCGGCTATGGAAAAAGTCAGTCTGAAGAAATCATGTCGTGTTAGTCACCTCAAAAGAAATAATCTAGTTCATCTTTGATACTGCTCTCTTGTGTTTCTGTCATTACGTAGATACGAGGGGAGAAGTTTCTCAGCTTGTTCCTGAGATTTGCTTTGTTTTTTCTTGTTTTTGTTTTTTTTTCTGTCATCTCTCTCAAATGGTAATAAGCATTTCAGGAACATGAATCTGTCCTCTTAGCCTGTCTGGTTTTCACACTGGGTTCTCTCCCTTTTCCTTGAAGTTCCCCTACCCGTTCCACCACCACCTCCTCTCCTTCTCTAAGTAGATCTTACATCTTCTTGGTGTCCTGTTTTAATTTTGCATAGCTCATGTCTGTCACTTGAAAATCCAAGTTTTTATGAAAATATTTCATGCTACTCCATCTTAACTCTGTAACGTAGTGCGTGGAGTGAGAGAGGATGTTACCCTGACTGAGACAAACCCAATGCGCCTCTGCCAGGACTTTCTCCTCTCATCGCTTTACTCTCTCCCTTCCCTCAGTAAATCAGTCTGGAGAGTAAAAACCTTTACACAGAAAACAATATTACTGTCAGCTAATAGGACTGTGAAGGGACCCCAGGTCAGCCACAGCTTTGAGGTGGATGTGCCCAGGCGCTTGAGCTGCGCTCTAGCAAACCCTGCCTGCTCTGGTTTGAGAGAACTGGCTTTCCTTTTCTCTTTCTGTGTTTTGATGATCTTTTGGAGGAGGGGAGACAGAACCCAGTGAGATTACCTACCGTTCAGACCACATTAACTGTTCACTTGCCCGTACCTGAGTGTCACAGCATTCACATAACATCTGCTGAGGGCTGGTTCTGCCATTTCGCATGTTCCAGTCAAGACACGTAAAAAGCAGTTAGCTTGAAAGTTAACCAGCATGTACAGGTACTAATTACTATGTAATTGGCTTATATGTAAACCATAACTGACTGTTCTGTGGCTGGGTGGTGGTAGGAATACCACTTCTTGGCATGTAGCCCATTTTTGCGACCGATAGGCATTGTATGTGCGATGGGCTTCGTGCATACATATTGATTCATCACCTGTCAGTCATGTAATTGCTTCTGAATCATTTGAAATGGCTGTAGAATCCTAATGTAAAATCTATATGCAGATTCACATAGCCTGCTTAATTGGTGCTTTTCCTGCCTCGTCTTACACAGTTCCATCCAAACCACGGATTGCTGAGTTTTGAAGAACAATGATAATTAAGCAGATTAAATCCTTCATTCCAACTGCGAAGGTCTTGCATTTGAAGTTGTGCGTGAAATGAAAATGTTAAACTTGGCTTTTAGTCAGTGATGGCGTTTTCTCAGATGTAAAAAGCAATGCTAACAAAGTCACAAAAACATCGTAGTCAGGCAGGAATATATCCAACCGTTAAAAAATTATTTTAATTTCATTATGGAGGTATTGGTGGCATCAGACAGATGAATGATCCATTAAGTTTAAGCCTTTTACAGAAAAAACAGCTTGATCATATATATTTTTCATCAATATAAGCACATATTCAGCTTTGTTCCTACCTTTAACAATCTAAATAAATCCCCTGAGAATATTGTAATACTCAGTGAGCACCACAGAAGGTAGTCAGTTTTCATCAGCTCTAAAATCCATCCAGTTCATGTGCTACGTTTGTACATTTCTCATTTTGGATAGAGAAAACCTATGTTCCTGTATAATCTTTATTCCAAACTTTCTGTAGAGAAGTTTAGTATTACTCTTTGCTTTCACACATTTACTGAAGTGAACCCATTCTCTAGGTGGTACTACGCTATGACATATTTGTGGTTTTGTTTCTATGATGGCAGATCAAGGATTTTTATTTTGTTTTCATTTAGTTTGTCCTCTTTTCTTAGGGTTTTAGTGTGCAATGTAAAATTTCTAGTAATAAGATACTGTGCCAACTCATTAGTACTGATTCAAGTCTTTAAGATGTGGTAATTGAAAAATATTTAGAGATTTGTGGAAGAGCTGCAGATGTTTCATTATAAACATACATGCAGAGCTGAGAACAGTTGTTTTGGTGTGCAGTTGATATCCTCCTCTGCAATACAGAGCTTTATTAGACTTGTGAAAGAGCCACAGGCAGAAGTTCTTGCTGCTGGGGTAGCTGTGTGGGGTTCTTACTGAGCTGAAACATTGCATGTCATTGACCTCTCTAAATTTTCTCCACCCCCTCACTGCGTTAATGAAGCAGATGATAGTTCTCACAAAAGCTTGCAGAATAGCAGTCATTAGAATGTACTCTAAAAAAGTAAAAACTTTGTTGAAAAAGCTCTTTTTTTTTTCTGTTGACAAATAGTTAATATATGAAAGAAAACATATTACAGTCTTTCTGTAGGAGCAATGTGCTCTATTAAAAAGCTGAAACATTAATATCTGGAAATGAACCCAAAGCATTCTGGCTAGTTCTTCGTTACTGGCCAGTATACCCTGTTTAAATTATACTGCCCAGCTCATGCACAATGAAAGTTGAAATAGTTTCCTTCAGACCTATCCGTAGATAGCACCAGTCAGAATAGGAATTATTTCCATGAAGACGAGTCTTCCATTAGGAAGAAATAAATTTTTAAAACTTAGGAGCCTGACCCACCCTGCAAAAGTAAAGTCTGTTAAAGACTCTCGTGAGCTCTGAGGATCCCTCTAATTTAATCATCATGTGCCTGCTCATACTGTGCTAAAGTGACTTAGGGTATCTGGGTTGACGGTGGGGGTGTAGTTGTTTTCCTTGGTTGGTTGTGACTTAGTAAGGCCATGGCTGTCCACAGTTGCAGATATATTCTTGCACTCGTCTCCTCTTTGAAATTGGCAGAGCATCAGAGTGATTGTAATACACAGCACGGGTATTTTGCCACCCTCAGAGCTTTTCTGAATGTGAGAGGAGTCCCAGAGCTCTGACTGTGGGCATCTTTGTGGCCCATGAGGGAAGGACACCAAAATGGATGTCCTAAAATTGCAAACTGCTTGTTAGATGTTTTCATTCATTCAGGTACGGATAGAAGGTGTTTGAAGACCTTTCCTTTGCATACTCAAAATTGAGCCTATGAAACAAAAAAGTGACTTATTTTCATTTCATTCCACAGTAATGGGTTTCAGTCAGCAGCAATTACTACAATAACATACAATCTAAAGTCTATCATAGTGGAATATGAGTACAGATTTTTGTTTCTCACCTAGTAGGGTTAACACAGGTAATAAATGGGAGGTGCACGTGGCATAACTAAATGCTTTTTGCTTATTATGATTAAAGTAAAAGTAACCAGTTTCACTAAAACACTGCTTTTGGGTTGTAATGCTTCTATTTTTATTGTTTTTTTCTTTGAAGAAAGCAAAGATGTCTTCTTTCAACATATAAATTCTTGATCTTTCTCATTTCAGAGGCCTGGAAATTAAGAACTGCAACTTTCCTGTTTCCTGCAAGTAGGAGACAAAAATGAATCTGAAATATTCCTGTTATGTGTCTCTAGAGGAATGTCAAGATAGACCAAAGAGCAAAAGTTTACGCTTTCTTCAAACTAGTTTTTATGATGAAATATAGCTGTAAGGTTAAAAAAAAAAAAGGGGGGGGGGGAAGCAAAACACTGCTTTTGGGTTGTAATGCTTCTATTTTTATTGTTTTTTTCTTTGAAGAAAGCAAAGATGTCTTCTTTCAACATATAAATTCTTGATCTTTCTCATTTCAGAGGCCTGGAAATTAAGAACTGCAACTTTCCTGTTTCCTGCAAGTAGGAGACAAAAATGAATCTGAAATATTCCTGTTATGTGTCTCTAGAGGAATGTCAAGATAGACCAAAGAGCAAAAGTTTACGCTTTCTTCAAACTAGTTTTTATGATGAAATATAGCTGTAAGGTTAAAAAAAAAAAAAGGGGGGGGGAAGCAAGCAAAAGTTTTTCTTGCTGTAGTGCTGGAAGCTCTCTACTGGAGCTTATACTTGTTTATGTATAAAATGACATTGAAAAAGAGATAAATTTTTCACCTTAGAGTTTTCGTCTTTTCTCAGAGGAGTTTACAGACATATTTTCCTTATCTTGGCCATCTAAAATCTTGCGTTAACGTGATTGTACTGGGTGATCAAGACTGTTTCTCACTGAAAAATACACTTTTGGTCCTGGCGTTCAGGAGCTGAGACTACACACAGATTAACTGCACATTTTTGAGTTATCATCAAGCGTTGCTCTGGATGCGTTTGGGCAACAGCCAAGCTCCGAGCAAGGAAGATATTAAGCAGAGAAAGAACCAGAGCATGTGTTTTGTAAAAGGTTTTTAATATACAATTTGTTTCCTTGTTGGGCAAAGATCTTTTGAAACACTTAAGCTGTAGCTGTCTCAGATCCATAGGTCTGTGTTTATCCAGAGAGTATGTTACAGGCTGTCCAGCTGATTTTGTGCCGCTGGTGGCGAAGCTGGTCGTTCGGTTCCTTCTGAAGCCCTGTTTTGCTCCTGTACGTGGCTAATGAAGCCTCCTGCTGTGCTGGCTCCCGACCCAGAGTTTTTCTTGTCCTGTTCCTGGCAGCACACAATACTCCATAACAACAGAGGAGCGTCCACCGAGCAAGGATGCCACAGGGTCAGAGCCTTGCTCTGCTTTGCGTTGCGGGTTTTAACCACCATGCTTGTAAAACTGGAGAGTGTTTGCTATTTGGAAGGGGTATTCAAACATGCTAAATCCTAAACAGTGGGCTTTCATTTACCTCAGTAACTTGCCTCGTACGTTTTTTTTCCTAAATCTGCAGCAAAACAAGCCTTAGGTACAGGATACTGCATTTAGCTTTTCAAGCTGCTGCTCCTCAGGAAGCTCTCACTGACTGACTGTTGGTTCCTTCAATAGCAAAAAATGCAACAGAACAATAGGTTGAATCGAAACAATAGGCCATTGTTTTTTTAGGTAAAAAGCAGTGAAATAATCATGAGAGAGTTTATTTTCCTAGTGACGTTTTCCATCCTGTCGCTTTGCTCCGCTTACGCACATCTGCATGTTATGGGCTTCTGTGATGGAGTTTTGGTTCCCTTCTATGCAGCCACATTTGGAGACTTAATTATATCAGGAACCGTGTTGTAATTGAGGGGGTTTGTTTTGGTTTTTGAAATCATGCTTTGTTATTTATAAACTCAAAACTATAATTATGGACAGAAGAGCAAACTGGGGACAATTAAAATAATTATCTGTGCCTTCCCTGGAGTAGCACGGAAATGTCTGCTGACTGCATTTCAGACCTGTTCTATTCATAGCGTGGTCCCCCAGCACCGGGGGGGTTGCTGTGAAGATAAACATAAAAAAAATAGAGCTAGTTGATATTTTAGCCTGATTAGACATCAGAATTCATAACAGCCTAGACTGGGGATGCTTTAATTGCACTGGGCAGGACAAACATCATCAGTAGAAAGCAAGATTCAAGCGTGGCTCTCACAGCTACTGGAGAGAGAGATTTCTGGTATTTTCTATTAAATTGTACCCCAAAATACAACCACGTTATCCATACACATAGCTGTGTTGTAATTTAGCCCGGCTCACACTGAGCTATCCAGCCTAGAAAAATCCAAAGACTTACAGAGGAAATTCAGTGTGGTTTCCAGTCAAAGTTTTCCTAGTAGCATTCCTTCAAGAAAAATAAATGAGGTTTTCCCTCCATCTTGCTTGAAGACATTTGGAAAACCATACCGTGCCTTATTTTTGGTCACTGACAATTGTGTCGGACCATCTCCATGCAGTGTAGGGTAATAAACATGGCACTAGCTGCCTGCCTGTGAACATTCCATATGGGATACGGACATCTGAGCAACAGGTTTTATAAGTAGCTTCAAACTACGGTGTGATACCCACACGCTTTCTGCATTGTGGTGCCTGTGTTGTCCCTTCAGGCCACACGTGCTGGGACTGTTTATCTGACTTTCCCTAAAACATCGCTCGAGCTCAGTTAGTTGAGAGTTGACAAACATCCTGTAATTTTTATTTTTTTTCTACTGTCACGTGCACAGGATTTGTTATATTGTTTTGATAGCTTCAATAATTCAAGGAAAGCTGGAATGACCCTCTCTTGTTTTGTCATAGCTTCCCCCCCCATTTGGTTAACTATCTGCAAAATCCTTTGAGCTGTTACATTTTTGGTTCTTTTAGTTAATTTTTAGTAGATTTGTTAAAAATAATTCATATTGGCCTGCAGCTTCTGTCTCATAATCTGAAGGGACTGAGTTATGCACCATCAGCTGAGCTGCAGAAGCTGCCGCGATACGTTCCCTTGGGCTGCCCTTAGCTCCAAGCCCAAATGCCTTCATCAAGACGGGGTTTGGAATGAAACCTTTTCAAAGTTAAGTGTTATAGCAAAGTGCATCACTTGTTGCTACTCGGATATGATTGCAGGTGAGGGACTCTCTGCCTTTGCTTCTGCTCTGAGCAGTTTTGTGACATGGCAGCTTTCTCAGGCAGCTTCCCCTGCTTACCCCTGCCTCTGCTAATGCCTGTTACAAACCACACCATTGTTTATTACCAGGAGATCTGCTTTTTGTAGTGACTGAATACTTTGTTATTGCTACTGCTGAGCTACAGAAAACTAGTGACATTGAAATACCTCAGACTACGGACGACGGGTTTCTTCGTTTGTATTTTAAAATGCAAAACCCCGGAATGCGAGTTGCCATGAACATGAAAATAAAGTGTACGTGTGTACTGATGGACAGTTTGCAAAAGTGGTGCCTGTCTCAAGTCTGAATTCATTAATAAAGTACATCCATTTCATTACTATCTTGCCTGGTTAGTGACTGTTCTTTTCTCCTAAGCCACTTAATGCGTTTGGTCCCTGCCTGCTGCACAGGAGAGTTGTCCACAGGACCTTCTCCACCAGTACAGTCCTTTTGAAGTTTGGTTTGTGTTTGGAGGGAAGGACACACCAGACTAACATCCTGTCCTTGTCCCAAAATATCTTGCTGTTGCCTTTGGTCCTTGGCGCGAAAGGCTGGATCAGACACAAGGGTCAGTTGGACACTTTCCACTTCTCAGGTTTTATGTGAAACAGCATCAGGTGCAAGAACAAGGTGAGCTTCTCGGGGTGGGATTTAAATACAAGCAATGCAAAAGCTTTGGGAACTACGGATGTTCAATGCATCAACTGGATCACAACAGAGCAGAAAGCATCCCAAGAGCAGGAATAAATTAAATTGGAAGCAGGAGGGGGGGAGAAATCAAGCGCTTCAGGCACATACTGGACATTGCTCCTGTTTTCTAAATATCTAAGTGAAGTCTTAACCATATGATTTGGATTACTACTGGGTTTTTAACATGCTTCTCATGGCTAGATTTCCAAACAGCTTTTCAGCTTCTCTATAACATTTTAGTGAGGAACTTGCCCACATGTAATGGCTCTCAAGCACCAGGTTTGGGCTTCAGCAGGACCAGCTGGAGCTGATGGCCACCCAACCAGCCACAGTGAGCCCTGAAGGCAGGGGAGGCTTGCTCTCCTCCACTGAATTATTGGGGTGGCAACAGAGGGTAGCCAGTTTCACCCCTTTTAACATCAAGTTTTTCATAGAAAGTTTTTTTGAGAACATATTTCAGAGAAAAATTTTAAGGCCAAGTTAGGACCCCCTGCTTGAGAAGGTTGAAATGGCAACAGTGAAAGCCCCTTAGAATCATAGAATCGTCTAGGTTGGAAGAGACCCTTGGGATCATCGAGTCCAGCCATCTACCCTACTCTACCACGTCCTCCCCTACACCATGTCCCTTAGCACTGCATCTAAATGGCCCTTAAACACAGCCAGGGATGGTGACTCCCCCACCTCCCTGGGCAGCCTGTTCCAATGCCCTATCACTCTTTCGGTGAAAAATTCTTTCCTAATGTTCAATCTAAACCTACCCTGTTGGAGCTTGAAGCCATTCCCTCTCGTTCTGTCACTAATTACCTGTGAGAAGAGACCAGCACTAACCCCTCTACAGTGTCCTTTCAAGTAGTTGTAGAGAGTGATAAGGTCTCCCCTCAGCCTCCTCTTCCTCATACTAAACAGTCCCAACTCCCTCAGCCGCTCCTAAAACGATTTGTTTCCAGCCCCCTCACCAGCTTCGTTGCCCTTACAGCATTTGGCCTGAGGACAGGGCTGAGGACATGTGTCACCCTGCACCGGGGGGTGAAGGCCAGAGTGTTTATGTGAAGTAAGCTAAATTCAAATATTTCCACAAGTGTGGTCATAATAATGGTTCCCTGCTCCATGCACGTGAGTGTAATGTATTACATATACACAAGCACGGAAGAGTACGTATTTGTGCATGCAGCTTTTATGTAAAATCTTCAATATTTGCTTCCCAAGTAAACTTTTTAACTTAAACCTTTGAATAATGACTGGGAAGAGCCAGACTGCTATGTGCCAGTGTAGGCTCGACTGGACCAGACCCTTAAGAACCTTTCTAAGTCAGCCCTGCACTGGGTGATCTCCAGGTCCCTTCCAAGGCAAACTGTTCTGCGCACCTCTGAACTGCAGTGCTTGTGGAAAGAGTTAGCACTAGGGAAGCTCACAGACCTGAAATACACACGCTATAGGGACCATAAGAACTTTTCTTTGCAGAGTACTAA